AGGAAGAAGGCTTGGGAATTTATTGTAAGGGGAATAAAAGCAAAGCAAGATCAAAGAGAATGTGGCTTAGCAGCAGAAACTGAGTAAAGGAAGACAGGGTGAAAGGAATATCTGAGGCTCTGAGAAAGAGGCTTCGTGTGTGGGCAGGAAGCGAGGCAGCTCATCCAAGGGGAGAGAGGGCACGTTGGGTCCTGGGAGTTTAAGGTCAAGATTGTGGCCTGAGGGACAGGTCCAGGCTAAAAAGGTCCAGAAAGATCTGTCTCTCAGGCCAAACATGCAGGGCTGAATTCAGTATAATCTGATGCCTCCCCCTCCCATGGGCTTCTGGGTATTCTCAAGGTGAAGCGCAGGAAACAGTGCCTGCCTAAAGGGCGCCTTAGTCTTACAGAGCTGGGGGTGGGAGGGCATGCATGTGAAGAAATGCGGTCGGCGATTTATCTCCTGGCCTTCCTTCATGTCAGCAAAACCTGTCCAGCTGTTTCATGATTCCTCCCTGAGCTGCATTTTCGCCATACTTTCCTCAGAACAAACATTATGCAACATTGCATCAGGAATTCTCTTCCCTTTCCCCTCGTTACAGTTAAGTCCGTGTGTACAGAGTTGTTGGGATGGACGTGGGAAACGTCTAGCTCATAGGTTCTGCTGGCATTCAAGAGGGAGCAACCTCACTATGCCAGGAAGTCTTGCTCAGGACAGAAAACATTCGGTGGATTGTCTTCCTGTCAGAATGTCCCTCCTGTCCCACAATTTCTCCCCAGTATGGTCTGTCACTCAAGGCCCAGCCCCAGACTCCCGAGCTCAGCAGAGGGGGCTGTGACCTCCCACCTCTGCACCGCCACCGGTGCTGTCTGCAGCACACACGCGCCATGTGCTCCCTGCCTTTTTTGGTAGTTATTTGTGTGTCTGCCCCTGGTAGCTTCTGGCAGCTGCAGATTCTTACTTACTTTCCTTAGAGCACATCCACCAACTGGCCTGCTCCTGAGGAGCGCTGAATAAATGGGCCGGGACGACTGACTGCACCAATAAACACATCTATCTGCCTCTCCCCGGGGACGAGCGCCCTGCAATGGCTGGTGCTGTCCTTCTTCTCTTTAGGGTCCTGTAATGTGCTGAGGAACATATTTCCTACTCTTGGAGAGAAGTGCTTCTAATTTTGACGAGACCAAAGTGTGGGTTCATGTTGTTAAGCTCCAGGGTGAAATATTGCTGGTTTCTGATTTGAAAATCCATGTTTGGTCTATCATCGTGGAGTGAGGAGAGAAGGCAAAAGCCCAGTAGGCTTGCACGAAGTATGTCTTGAATGAAATGAATGAATGAATGAATGAATGGGGGACTGGTGACAGAAGTCTAGTAAATAGAAGCTAGATAAAAAAAATAGCAATAGAAATAAAAAAGGATATATACTCATGACACCTAGAGAAAAACATGCAAAGAGATTAAGGTTAATTAAATTCTGAATCAGAACTTCTTGCTTTATTGGGAAGTTGTCTTCATAACTTAAAAAGCAGAAAGGCAGTAAGAAAAGACAGACTGAAGACAAACCCAGTCTCTGATAGCCACTTAGCTACTCTGTGACCTTGGACAAGTGACTCGGCCTTTCTGAGCTCATTGTGTTATTTTAAATTTACCAAAAAGCTGTAGAAATAGTACAGAGTTCCCACATATTCTTCGCCCACCTTCCCTGGATGTGAATACTGTTCACAATCATAGCACAAGTAAGAAACCCAGGAAATAAACACTGACACAGTAACGAACTCAACTGTACAGTTGAGTTACTATTGAACTAGTTGACTATAAAAAAAATGCATCATTGACGCTTTACTATTTTCCTATCACTTTCCTTTTTTTCCAGTCTCATATTCACTAGAATTGTCTCTTCTCCAATGTTCAGAGCTCCTCAGATTTTTCATCTTTCACGACCCTGACACTTTCTAGAGCATTGCCTGTCCCTCAAACTGGCTATGTCTGACATGTTCCCATTACTAGATTCAGGTTTGCCTCTGTGACAAGAACACACAGAGGTGACACCACACCTCTTTAAGCAGACTAAGTAGGGACTCAATTGGATATGTATCATTAGTGGTCAAGGAATCTTGAGACAGTGTCTGTGGCTGGGTTTCTCCACTGTTCTATTCTTCTACGTGATTAGCAAGGATCTTGTGGAAAGTTGCTTCAGGATCATGCAAATTCTCCATCTCTCACCCCATTTCTTTTTGTTAAATAATTTTGAAATGCATTGGGTGTTCTACATGCAATGCTGCTGGCTTTTGTGTTCTCATGGGGACTCCCAATTGCCTCAATACAATCATTATTTGTTTTGCTGTCTAGGCTTCACTCTTCTACATTTGCAAGTCAGGGATCATCACAGCTGTAAAAGGATTAAGTGGGGTTTAAAAAAAAAAAGTGAGAATATCCAGTACAGAGCACCTACTAAACAGGTGGGTGTTCCTTTCTTTTTTGAGTGGTGTATGTACATACTCATGTGTGAATGCACATGTGTGTGTGTATGTGTGTGTAAGTGTGTGTGCATGCACACACATGTTGAGGCCAGAGGTCAGTGTCCAATTCAATTTCTCTCCACCTTATTTTTTGAGGCAGGGTATATCACCGAATCTGGAAGTCATCAATTCAGCTAGGCTGATTGGCCGGGGACCTGGGGACCTCCAGGATCCCTGTTTCCCTCTCACCGGAGATCCTTTTGTTTCCTTGTGAAAAGCCACACTAATCTGGAGGCAGTCCATTGTAAGTATTTGAAAGTCATTCTTGTGTCATTCTCTTTGAATGTAACCCAGCCTTTCCACCTTTACATTAAAAGCGAACAGAATTAGCTATGCCCAGGCTGATTGGTGGAAATCCTTTTGAATCTGCCTTTGATCACTGCCCCGACTGACGTTTTAATTAGTTTGCCTATGATTTGCATGGAAATAGATGCTTGAGAATACTTGAAAACACTCTATTCTCATAAGCAGTTTAAGTGTTTTCCCAGAAATCTTGTTTCTGTTCTGAAGTTGCTGCTAAACTATTTTCAGAGATAGTCCAAAACATACCTCACCCCAGATGTGGGTGCCCCATCTGTAGCTCTGCTGTGTCGGCCAATCACTGCTTCATCACTGACTCCCAAGGCTGTGGCAGTGATGGAAAATGTCCAAGTTTGATTTAAAATTAGATTTTAAAACTTCTTGTAATTGCAACTCACTTGCAAGTTAAGGTCTAATTTTCTAAAAAGGACAAGCATGGGGTCTTAAAGATTCGAGAGTAAATAGAGCTGGAAATTTCAAATAAGTCTCGAAACAGTAAAATCACTCCATTTACGGGAACTTTCATTTTCCCGTCCGTTTTTATCAGTAAGAAAAATCAAGAACACCAAGAGATTTGTTTTAAAAAACAGTTCTGGGTGAGCGTAGTTTTCCAAGCTCTCCTGTGGACTCCTAACGATTCCCTTTTAGTTTGAGCTGGGATGGAAAGTTCAGCTACAGCAAGTATCACCCTCAAGGCAGGTGACAGGCAGGACACTGTAGAGGCGAAAGCCCAGAATATATGGGTTTGGATCTCACAACAGCACCCATCCCTTGTGTAATCTGAGCCAGTGACTGTCCTTACACCCAGGTTTTCCTGTTGGTTGCATAGGAAAGCTGTTCCCCAAGGTTATAAAATTGTCTTCGTGAGCATCCTGGGCCTCTGGACACAGGCTTCTCTCTGAGGAATGGGATTGGGGATGTGCCTGGACATGGAGCCAGTTGGGCTCAACCTCCTAACGCTTTCTTTTTCTACTGGGCATCATCCTGATCAATAATATTTACCACCATTGACAGGGTCTTTTCTGGCAAACTATAGAGGCTGCAGACTGAGGCCAGGAGTTAGGAGGGCACACATAACAAAGGCTGACTGACCCTCTGTCAATCAGAGATACACATGACCCACAATGAGAGCCCTTTTAGCATTAGATGGCACTTACTAGCTACCCAAGTCAGAAACTGAGCTATTTGTGGAATTCAACCAACCAAGAACCCACAATAGCCATCTTTAAAAATTGTAACTTAATAATTGGGGAAAAAAGAAGTTAAAACTACAAGTAGAACAAGAAAAAAGTAAACTATGGATGTGGGGCACATTACCAAGGGAGAAGGGTGCTTTAAGACCAAGACTTGCATCTCCTTCCTGTCACTCCCTCTTTGACCTAAGCGACAGTGATGCCAGCCATTGGCTCCCCATCTCTCCCCATCCCTGGATGCCATCCAGAAGATCCATCTTCAGGGTTCCCAAATTCTGGCATGTTCTCTGAAAATTTAAGGTGACTTTCTAAGGTTGAGGATTTTGATAGGTGCAGATTGGGGAGTGGAGTGATTCACACCCCTCCATAACTAGCTCCATGCTTCCTTATATGAAGAACTCCAGGCACTGGTCTTTTAACTTTCTAAGGAGAAGTGATAGACATGGCTAGGCTTCATGCTGCCAAAGCTCACAACTGAGACACGGGTCTTAGGGTCTTAGAAACATTGCTTAGAAACATTAGAGGGGAGTCTGGGGGCTGAAATGTTTGCAGACAGCTAGGATGCAGTGAGAATTAAGAAGATAGTGTGGTGGCAATCTCAGGGCTTGGGAAGAAAACTGGTCATCATGGAAGAAGCAAGACAGACAGATAGGTAGAAGAGTTATCAATGACAGAGTCCACTTTGGGAACCCATTCTACATAGAAGGATACTCTCTCAGCCTAGACACACAGGGGAGGGACTAGGCCCTGCTCCAAAAGATAAGACAGACTTTGATGATCCCTTATGGAAGGGCTCCCCCCCCCCCGGGGGGCGGAAGGGGGGAGGGGAGGGGGGGGGGGGGGGGGGGGGGGGGGGGGGGGGGGGGAAGGAACTGGGAGTGACATGTAAATGAAGCTTGTTTCTAATTTAAATAAAAAAGGGAAAAAAAAAGACAAAGTCCAGACAATAAATACGCTTAAGAACCATGGATGGTGGCTCAAATACGGAAATGTCTGAGTGGTTCCTTACCTCATTAAATCTCATCACAAGGTCTTCAAGGGCATTGTGCTCTCCATTCTGAGAAGTGAGGATTGATGCTGAGATGGACGCTTTGAGATGGGGCAGGGAACTCTGGCATTCAGGGGAACTCAAGTCCCGGGTTAAGAAACAAAGGTAGTCCATGGGCAGGACCCTCCGGTAAATGTTCTGCTCCTGCTCTGTCAGGATGCTGGCCACTTCCTCTGGGAACTGAATGAGGGGCTGGAGATCAATCAGCTCCTTGCTGATCCCAGCTGAACTTGAAGGAACAGTATTGGAATTGGCCATAGAGGTGCCCAGTTGGCGTTCTGAGAGGGAAAAAAAATAAGCAACAAAATTTGGAGTTATACAGAGGCTAGGATCCCTATCAAAAAGCCAGTCAAAACCTTGTAGATTTCTCAGTCAAATCCTTTGCTTAGTGAGTAGCTCTACACTGCCATGCTTGCAATAGAGAGTTTTCTCACATCTGCCATCTTGAATCCCTGGGAGGTGGAGGCAGGGGCTTATCTTCCTTCAGTAGCTGCATTAATTTATCACATCAGCACCAACAAGCTCCCTATGAAACTATAGATCATTATCCACTTCATCATCCTTGGTTAGTCATCAGAGTTGAGATAAGTAAGGTTGAATGTGGGCACAGCCAGGTCACTTTGAAGACAGAAGAAGGCTGCACATTTATGTGCATTATTTGTTGTCAACATGTAGACTAGGTACACACAGTTCCAAAGCATCATGGTATAGTCTACCATCCCCACACCTGCAAAAACTTCTATTTCACTGAAGTTCATGTGGGAATTTGCAAGAACAGAAGCACCTATGAAGTTAAGAAAGAAATGGGTTGCAAGGGGACACATTGAAATAAACAATGTTATTTCATATTACAACTGGAAACAAGAAAGTGGCAGAAGGCTGCAGGACAGGGGCTGATGGGTACGATAGAGGGAAGTGCCAACGGCAGGGGTGTAGATTATTCCGAGATGCGTGCACTCAAAGATGATCCCTAGTCCGTAAGGCTAAGATTTCTTTATTCAGATAAACACCAGCCCAAACGCAAGCCAGAGTGTGCCAGGGGCAGCAAGACAGCCAGGCCAGCGAGAAGGGGCTATTCACGTGTATGCGGTCCCTTAAGAATTGTTCCCGCGTCATCTTGGACCTCCCCTGACCACGCCCTCATGGGCGTGTCCCGGTACACCTGTGGGGGCTACTAGGAGGCAGGGCTACAGTGTCTCCCTACACAGTGGTGTCTAGGTTCCAAACAATTCATTAACATTGACACACATGCTTTCTCTTTACTTTGATACCCTCCTAATCTAATTCTCAGCTACCTGCCCAAATTAACTCATTCACTGACCCACTCATTTACTGAGCCATTCACCATTTCACTAAGGATGATCCTGAACTTCTGCTCTTCCTGCCCATGCCTCTTGAGTGCTGTAATTACAGCCGTGTATGTAGTACTGGAGCTCAAACCCAGAACCTTGGGTACGCTCATCAAGCACTCTACCAACTGAGCTACACCCCTAGCCCAGGGAGAAGAACAGCCAGCTTTGTGGTTATATAAGTTTGGGAAAGGTTAAAGCATTCATGTCGCAGTTGTCTTCCTGGAGATACTTCAGACACACCGGTACAGGCTCTGAAGGGCCCGTTTACATTATCTTCACGCAGTACTGCCCACATTTTATCCACAATCCATTGCATCATTCTGTATGACGAGCATCCTTGGAGCCTCTTTTGGAAACACTGCTATGGGATCCAAACGGTCCATGATCTCCATCCTGTTCGTGTCTTCCCTCCTAGCAGACCCACCGGGTCATCTTTATATTTTCACACTGATGCAGGAAGGATGATATGCTCTGCATCCAGAACCATCTCTGCCTCCTGTTACAACATGTCTAAGTGGTCCTTGTTAAGATAAAATCCACCTGTCTTCTCGATGACACCTTACTATTAGACTCCAACCTATAGTCAAGGACAGCCAACAGTCATAGAAGGAGCCCCATAACATTCAAACTTTAGTGTATTTTTTTTAACTCCTTTTAAATCTCTCTTGCAGAAGTTCAGGAGATCTTTGGGTGTATCCCTATAAACCGCTCTACCTCTGAATCACTGAGCATGGTGGATAGCATCTGCAATTCCAGGACTGGAGAAAGTGAGATAAGAGGATCATGAGTTCAAAGTCAGCCTAAAGGAGATAGCAAGTTTCTGGCCAGCCAGGGCTTCACAGTGAGTAGTGATACCTCATCTCAAAAAAAAGGAAGTAAAATCGTTACAATTTCAGTGACTTTGCCCTCCATTGATACAAAGCTAGATGGTTCTAAATACATTCCTGGTAAAAAATTTCTGTTTTGTCTTCCCTATAAATTCTATCATATCCACATGATACCATCTGTTTAATTTTAAAAGTTGGATAGGTTAGTGAGGACTTCATTTTATCTGTCTCCCCTACCAAACTATCACAAATCTACAGTAGTAAAAGGGGTGACCACCACTTGGCTCATCTAAGCTCATATTTTACAAAGTCTAACATAGATTCCAGAATCTAGCCACTGAGGGCTCACAGTTCAATTCTTTGAATAGTTTAGAAAATGACTAGATTTCCTGGAAATTGAGTCACAATAAAACCAGAACAGATGCCAGGGACAGTTTTTGGGTACAGATATTTTATGTACAGTGAAGTTAGTCACATACAGGAACTTTTCCCAGAAGCACCCAACTAGAAAACATGATTTCAAAATAAAGTACTCTATAGAGGAAATGAAATAACAATAAATTCCATGAAATAATGACTTGTATAATACATAATGGAAGAGATAATGAAAAAAGAATATATAAAAACAGTAAGATGAGGCCAGGCGTTGGTGGCACACAACTTTAATCCCCCCACTCGGGAGGCAGAGGCAGGGGGGTCTCTGTGAGGTTGAGGCCAGCCGGGGCTACAAGAGCTAGTTCCAGGACAGCCTCCACAGAGAAACCCTGTCTAGAAAAACCAAAAAAAAAAAAAAAAAAAAAAAAAAAAAAAAAAGTAAGATGATATATTTGAAACAACAATCTTGAGATATGAATCACTGTTAGGATGATGAATCTAGTGATAAGTGGCAGTAATGGAGATGAGAACAAAACAGTAAAAAAAAAAAAGAAAAAGAAAAGAAAAGAGGAATGTAATCAGGGCAGGCATGATAAATCTAATGGTCTTATGATATCACACCCAAAGAAAACACAAAGCAAGGCTGCAAAGTTTGAAATATATTTAGGCTTTGGCATGGGTTTTTTGAAAGCCGGATTCCTGGGGGGATTTTATATATTCACAAGTTAACACCACATAAGTATTCGTGGGACATAAGCTTCTGTCCATCACCTCCCACACTTTGAACAGGTATTATATCCCCCCCCCTTCTCTCAGCCTTGCTGGGCCCTCCCGCTATTCAGTCTTCTGCCTTACAGGCCACCCCACCCCACCTCAACCTCATCAGTACATCAGTCCAGTCTCCCTCTGTACAACCTGATGGTGCACTGGTGACCTGGAGCTCATGGCTCTTTGTCTTTCCCACTCATCTGTGTGCCCACTGGGATCTGGAGATCTTCTCTTGCAAAAATGTTTTTACAAAGTTTCTGGTGAATCACATTATGGTACCTCAGCTATGTGTGGCCACTCATGCCTGTAATAACCCTAGCTTTAGGGGGCTGGAAACAGGATGATCTACAGCTCAAGGCCAGCCTCAACTACAGGTCTCTTGCTTAAAGACCAAAACCAAGCCCAAGACTATCTACCTGGCTTTCAGTAGATGCTCTCAGGCACGTGTCTTCTGTAATGCTCACTCTACTGCTGAATACAGATATGACCACAGCCCAGACATGGGCACCATGAGACACAGTAATTTCTTTCTTTTTTTTTTTTTTAAAGGAGAATACTCATTTATTTCACAAACATTTAATTATACCCTACTATATTTCCATGTTTTATACAAAATTGAAGAAATACATAATGAGAAAAAGGCAAGTACAATTCCTCTTTTTGTGGGATTTATATCGGAAGTTGGGCAGTAACTACATAGTGATACATAAGGATTCCAAATTTATGATTGTAAATATAAGCTAAGGATTGTCCATGGCCAGTGATAGAGGACTTGCTGGTAGAGTGCTTTCCCAGCATGTCCTGGATTTGATTAGCAGCATCAGCAAGGCAGAAAGAGAAACAGGGACTGGGAGGGAAGGAAAAGGAAAAGAGAAGGGGAAGAATTTTCTACTAAAATGTAAATGAAGTTTACATAAAGTGTCCTGAAGCAGTGAAAATATTTATAGATTATCTGGAAATGGTTTTTAAGGAGTTTTTCCTGTTACAAATAGAAGATAGAGAGATGATAGATAGAAAGATAGGTAGGTAGATAGAAAGAAAGAAAGAAAGATAGATAGATACAAACATACATACATACATAGATATGGAGACACAGTAATTTCAATTTGTGATTCTCTGTTCAAATAAAATCTTTCTATACTAAGTGCTTTCCATGGATTAATTCAGGAGATTTACATTTTAATTAATTAATTAATTAACTGTGTGTGTGTGTGTGTGTGTGTGATGGGAATGTACTTCTTTGTATGTTTATCTTATTGATTGTTGAATAAAATACTGTTTGGCCAATGGCAAGCAAGGACTAGGAGTCAAAGAGGATTCTGGGAAATGTAGTAGTAGAGAAGTGATGATCCAGGCAGGAAGTGACATGCAAGGGGAGTCATATCTCAGCGAGGAAACAGGAAGTATATCTCTTTCCCCTCCTCTCTTGCTCCAGCGGCACGACGTGATCCTCTGGCAAGGAGGGACGCCAATAAGGCGTCCGATAAAATAAGTCTTATAAAATACATAGATTTGTGATAGTTAAGACTGAACTAACAGATGAGAATCCTAGTCATTGACCAAGCAGCTTTGAACCTAATACAAGTTTCTGTGTATTCATTTGGTCCTAACTCAGGCAGGCAGCTGGCGTAAAGCGCACACGTGGCGGTGGGGCTCAGGCGACTTTTGGCAGAAAGATTTTGATGGTAGCGTGTGTGTGTGTGTGTGTGTGTGTGTGTGTGTGTGTGTGTGTGTGCCATAGCACACATGTGGAGGTCAGAGAGCAACTTGCAGGAGTCAGTTCTCTCCTTCCACTGTGTGAGTCACTGGGATTGAACTCAGGTCATCAGGCTTGGTGGCAAAGCACCTTTACCTGCTGAGTCATGTCACCATCCCCCAGGAGATTCAGTGTTAGCATCCAGATTTGACTCAGGATAGTTGTAGCTCATATAAGGTGACATCAGTAGGAAGTCAGAG